AACATAGTTCTTGAATCAAGTACCCAAAACACTAAATGTAAAAAAAAAAATTATAAATATAGCTACAAAAACATTAATGCCATTATCATAGGCATTTTAAAGGAGAATTAAAAGACAACTCCAATTAGGATAAAATATTTTTATGTAATTAGGGTGAGTTTATCATTCAAACGAGTATTATTTTGAGTGATAGGGCAGCACCATTAATTACACAGGAGCAACAAACCAGAACTCTTTGGGGTAAAGTAGGATGTATAGTCACCCTACACATAACAGACAAGGGACTAGTAAATGATATAAAGAACAACTATGAAAGAATAAGGGAATAGAAGAAGACAGTCTCTTCAACAAATGGTGCTAGAAAAACTGTATTTCCACATGCAAATGAATGAAATTACACCCTTATCTTATACCATATACAAAAATTAACTCAAAATGGATTAAATACCTAAAGTAAGACCCAAAACTATAAAAATACTAGAAGAAAGCATAGGAGGAAAGCTTCATGACATTGGATTTGCCAGTGATTTCTTGAATATGACACTAAAAGCACAGGCAACTAAAACAAAAGTAGGCAAAAGGGACTCCATCAAACTTAAAAACTTCTGTGCAGCAAAGGACACAATCAACAGAGAAAAAAAGCAGCCTATGAAATAGGAGAAACTATTTGAAAATCATATATCTGATAAAAGGTTGATGTTTAGAATATATAAAGAACTCCTACAACTCGACAATAAAAAATCAAATAACTTGGACAAAGGACATGAATAGACGTTTCTCCAAAGATGATATACAAATGACCAATAAACATATAAAAAAGATGGGCAGTTATCACTAATCATTAGAGAAATGTAAATCAAAAAACCACAATGAGACATCATCTCACATCAATCAAAAAAAAAAAACAAAACAAAACAAAAAAAGCCAAGCACGATGTTATGCACCTGTGGTCCCAGCTACTTAGGAGGCTGAGACAGAAGGATTACTTGAGCCCAGAGTTTGAGGCTGTAGTGCACTATGATCTCACCTGTGAATAGCCTGCACTCCAGCCTTGATGACATAGTGAGACTCCCATCTCTTAAAAAAAAAAGAAAAGAAAAAGAAAAACACAGAAAATAACAAGCGTTGGCAAGGACGTGGAGAAATTGGAACTTCTGTGCACTATTGATGAGATTGTGAAATAATACAACCACTATAGAAAACAATATGATATTTCCTTAAAAAATTAGAAATAGAGCTACCATATGATCCAGCAATCCCACTTCTGCATATTTATCCAAAATAATTTGTAACAGAGCTTCAAAGAGATATTTGCACACCCATGTTCATTGCAGCATTATTCACAATAGCCAAGAGATGGAAATAACCCATGTCTGTTGATGGATGAATGGATTAACCAAATGTGGTTTATACATACAATGGAATATTATTCAGCCTTAAAAAGGAGGGAGATTCTGACACATGCTACAACATGGATGAACCTTAAGGACATTATGCTAACTGGAATAAGCCAGTTACAAAAATAAACATGCTGTGTGATTCCGTTTATATGAGATATAGAAAGTAGTCAAATTTATTATAGAAACAGATAATAGAAAGGTGGCTGCTAGGGGCTGGAGGGAGGGGAGAATAGGGCATTGTTGTTTAATGGGTATAGAGTTTCAGTATTACAAGATGAAAAATTTCTGGAGATCTGTTGCATAACAATGTGAATATGCTTAACACTACTGAATTATACACTTAAGAATGATTAAGGTTGGACACGGTGGCTCATGCCTGTGATCCTAGCACTCTGGGAGGCCGAGGCGGGAGGACTGTTTGAGGTCAGTGGTTTGAGACCAGCCTGATCTAGAACAAGACCCTGTCTCTACAGAAACTAGAAAAATTAGCTGGGCATGGTGGCACCTGTAGTCACAGTTACTTGGGAGGCTGAGGCAGGAGGATCACTTGAGCCCAGGAGTTGGAGGTTACAGTAAGCTACAATGATGCCACTGCACTCTACCCAGGGCGAAAGAGTGAGACTCTGTCTCAAAAAAAAAAAAAGGAAACTGAATCCCCTCTTCACTCCTCCCCCTTCATAAAAAAATAAAATAAAAAAAGAAAGGAGATTCTCACACATGCTACAACATGGACAAACCTTGAAGACACTATGCTAAGTGAAATAAGCTCATCACAAAAAGACAACTACTATACGGTTCCACTTACATGGGATATCTAGAGTAGTCAAATTCATAGAACAAATAGTAGCCTGGTGGTTACTAGGGGCTCTGGGAGGGGACATGGGGAGTAGTTGTTTAATAAGTACAGAGTTTCAGTTTTGCAAGATGAAAAAGTTCTGGAGCTCTGTTGTGCAACAATGTCAATGTTCTTAAGAACTGTACCCTTAAAGAAAACAAAATTATAGCTAGATAATAGAAATAAGTTCTAGTGCTCTGCATCACTGTAGTATAACTGTAGTTAACAATAATATTTTATATAGTTTCAAATAGCTAGAGGGAGGATATCAAATGTTCCCAACACAAAGAAATGATAAATGTTTGAGATGACAGATATGCTAATTATCCTGATTTGATCACTATAATTATATGTATTGAAACTTTACTATGTACCTCATAAATATGTACAATTATTATGTCTTAATTTAAAAATGAAATAAGAGTTATAAACATTTGAAATAATAAAGCAAAATTATCATTATATATTTACCTGGAAAATCCAAGCAAATCAGCTAAAACCAACTATTAAAATTTTTTTAAACTATGGAAGTCTGTTTTAAAAACTATTCAAAGGTCAATGAATTTCTTATGTAGTATTAAATATAATGAAAAAAAGATCAATTCATAAAAGCAACCTAAAATGTAAATTGTCTAGAAATAAACTTTAAAAAAAAAGTGTGTAGGATCCATTGTGCTACCTAAAAGATTGAACAAATGAAGAAGAATTTCATGTTCCTGAATGGGAAGATAATATTATAGAAATAATAGCTCTCTATAAACATATTCTATAAATATAACAAAATCCAAGTGTGTCAATAAATGTAAGACAATCCCAATCAAAAAAATTGCTTAGGCCAGGCACGGTGGCCACACCTATAATCCTAGCACTCTGGGAGGCTGAGGCGGCAGGATTGTTTGAGCTCAGGAGTTTGAGACCAGCCTGAGCAAGAGCAAGACCCCATCTCTACTAAAAAAAATAGAAAAAATTAGCTGGACAACTAAAAATATACAGAAAAAATTAGCCAGGCATGGTGGTGCATGCCTGTAGTCCTAGCTACTCAGGAGGCTGAGGCAGAAGGATTGCTTGAGCCCATGTTGAGGTTGCTGTGAGTGAGGCTGATGCAACAGCACTCTAGCCTGGGCAACAGAGTGAGACTCTGTCTCCAGAAAGAAAAAAGAAAAGAAAGAAAGAAAAGAAAAGAAAAGAAAAAAGAAAAGAAAAGAAAAAGGGAAAGGGAAAGAAAAGAAAAGAAAAGAAAAGAAAAGAAAAGAAAAGAAAAGAAAAGAAAAGAAAAGAAAAGAAAAGTGCTTAAAATGGTAAATTTTGTATGTATTTTTTCACATTTAAAAATAAATTTTGGCCTGGCCCAGTGACTCATGCCTGGAATCCTAGCACTTGGGGAGACTGAGGGGGAAGGACTGCTTGAGGTCAGAAATTTAAGACCAGCCTGAACAAGAGACCCTGTTCCTATAAAACATAGACAAATTAGCTGGGCATGGTGCGGCACTCCTATAGGCCAGGCTACTCAGAAGACTAAGACAGGAGGAGCGCTTGAACCCAGAAGTTTGAGGTTGCAGTGAACTATGATGATGCCTCTGCACTCTAGCCAGGGCAACAAAGTGAGACCCTATCCCAATAAATAAATAAATAATTTTAAAAATAAAATGAAATATTACAAAAACAAGCAAAGCAAATGTTGCAGAATGTTAAAGAATGCATACATGGAAGTAAAACTATTTTCCAAAAAGCAGGGAATTGATTGTCACAAAATTGAGAAACATGATTACATCTGAGGAGAAAAAGGGAGATACAATTGGGGAGCCAAAAATCTAATTTCCAAGGTACTGTTTCTTAACCTGGGTTGCAGTTACAGAGGTGTTCTCTTTGTAATTATTCTTTAAACTAAATGTTTGTATTTTGTATACATTCTATGCACATATTTCATGATAAAGGAACAATGCTATAGGAGGAAAAAGAAAATCAGTTAATGCAATTCATAATATAAATTGGTCAAATGTGAAAAATCCTATGATTATTTCAATAAATGCAAAATGACCTTTGAAAAAATTCAAATCCATTCCTCATTAAAAGAAGAAAAGTCTTAGCAAACTGGAAATAGAAAGGAAACTTCCTTAAGTAGATAAAGGTGTTCTACACAAACACCTACATTAAACATCCTATGGAATGCTAAAACAATGAAAATTTGCCCTTTGAGATCAAGGATTCCTACTATTACATTGTATTCAAGGTCCTAGTTTATGAAATAAGACAATAAAAAAAATATGGTCGAAAAGGAGGAAACCAAACCATCATTATTTGAAGATAATATGATTGTATATATTGAAAAATATAAAAGAATTTATACAAAAATTTACTCAAGGTGCTAGATATAAAAACAATATGCAAAAATCAATTGCATTTCTATGTGTTAACAACATACATTTAGAAAATGAAATGTTTTACAAATGTCATTTATAATATTATCATAAAATATGAAGCACTAAGGAATAAATCTAATAAAATACATGCAAAAGAGGGTAGTGACAACTCATAAAAGGGCTTGAATGCCATGGATTGGGTTTGCAGGGGAGATATTCCCTGTACAATTATACTTTAAACTGTGTGTTTGTTTTATACATACACCAAGGTGATGAGGGCCTAAATTAGGCCAATAGCAGTGGGTCATATATTTAACATGAGATCACTTGTCACAACTGTATGTTTTTCCCCAACCATCGGCAGCTGTGAGGGCAGGCACAGGGTAGGCAGAGAGTTAGACTTACTCAGAATCAGATTTTTGTCCCCAAAGTACCACAGAGGATCATGAACCAGGACTTCATGTTTTCAATGCTTGAGAAACAGTGGCTGTACTGCAGTGGAGTTTAATTACTCAGGTTGCAAAGAAACTGAGGTGTTGAAGGCAGAGGAGGAGTCTGAAACGCTCTGTAAGAAGCAAGGAAGCATGAGAAGGATATCTAATCTATCTTCCAATCCAGTGGTGAGAGGGGCATGGGATACAAAGAGTTCACACCTTTCTCCAGAGGGCTTCAGGGAAACGATGTCCTTTAGTGAGAACAGGAAAGTCAGGTCCATATGTAGAGAAGAGGTGAAGAATATAGAAAACTTTGCTGATGACTCTCCTTGAGTCCCACAGTGCACAGTGGAAGGATTTGGAGTTGGCGTGGAGAAGGAGTCTGAGTCACACTTGGGGATCTAGAGAGGCGTTTATGGATATGAATCTCTGCTGGTGGCTGAGGTACACAGAGACGAGATTCCTCCTGATGAGCTCTGAGGAGAAAGTAGGTCATCAAAAGAAATTATAATCTCCTTCTTGGGATTGGTCTGGTCTAATATGACGAGGGGTCGAATGAGGCAGTGGAGTAGGAAGGCAGAGGTGGATGACAGAATCATTGAAATGGCAGAGCAAGCATGACAGTAAAACAGAAAAATCAAATGTGACTCTGATCTTTCTGGTCTGAGCAACTAAAGTCATGGGAATATTATTACCTAAAGTAAAAAATTCAGCAGATATAGCAGATTTGACAGGGATAATAGTTCAGTGTGAAGAAGAATAGTTATCACAGGATTAAATTAACTCAAGAACATAGTGATGGTTTCAAACAATAAAATTGTTTTGATTAAAACTTTCTATAAAATTGTCTTTCTTTCTGAAGAATAACTTTTAAGCTTAAGTCCATCCTAAAAAGACTAGAAAAGTAACTATTGGAATATTATAGAGTAATACTGAAATAGTGAGTGAGGCTTTTTCCCCAGTATGTCCTCAATGTATATAGGCATTGGCATGTGACATTCCAATTTTGCTATTAACAATAGTCTAAGGCAAAAGCAAATGAAAACCATAATGTAATACTTTTCCAAATTTTATTTTTTTATTTCAAAATATTAGGAGAGGTACAAATATTTGTGTTACATGACTACCTTATATAATTCTTAAGTTGGGGATTTTAGTGTGCCCATCATCAGAATAGTGTTCATTGTACCCAAAAAGTAAGTTTTTACCTCTCATTCCCTCCTGCCGTCCCCCCTTTTTGGTTTCCAACATCCTTTACATTTTTTAATGCCTGTGTGTGCCCATGGTTTACCTCCCAACTATTAGAGAGTACATGTGGTGTTTGGTTTCGATCCCTGAGTTACTTCACTTAGGATAATGGTCTCTGGTTCCATCCAAGTTGCTGAGAAAGACATTATTTCATTCCTTTTTATGGCTGAGTAGTACTCCATGGTGTGTGTGTGTGTGTGTGTGTGTGTGTGTGTGTGTGTGTGTGTGTGCGCGCGTATCACATTTTATTTATCCATTCATGAATTGACGGGCATTTAGGTTGATTCCGTATCTTTGCTATTGTGAGTTGTGCTGTGATAAACATTCACGTCCAGGTGTCTTTTTGACAAAATGACTTCTTTTCCTTTGGATAGATACCAAGTAGTGGGATTACTGGATCAAATGATACATCTATATTTATTTCTTTGAAGACACTCCATGCTATTTTCCATAGTGGTTGTACTAATTTCCTGTCCCACCAACCGTGTGTAAGCATTCCTTTCTGCACCCATGCCAGCATCTATTGCTTTTTGACTTTTTAATAATGGCCATTCTGACAGGGATAAGGTGGTATCTTACTGTAGTTTTAATTTGTATTTCCCTGATCACTAGTGGTTTTGAGCATATTTTTCATATGTTTGTTGGCCATTTGTCTATCTTCTTTTGAAAAACTTACGTTCATGTCTTTTGCTCACTTTTTAATGGGTTGTTTATTTCACATAATGTAATACTTCTACCCACACTCAAGAAGGAATAAGAGGAAAAAGACAATACCAAGTGCTAGCAAGGCTATGGAACATCTAGATCATGCATACACTGTTGGTGAAATTATTAATATGTGCCACCATTTCATTTGGCAGTATTTACTAAAAATGAACATACCCATAATAGTAACTCCATTCTACCTATAAAACCTGCACATATGTTCATAGTAGCACTTTTTATGAAATCTTTAAGGTAGAAATAACCCAAATGTCCATCAGCAAAGAAATGAATAAATAAATCTATTTAATTAATTCATACAAAGGAATACTACAGAGCAAGAGAATGATAAACTACAACTAAGTGTAGTAACGTAATTGAATTTCACGAACATAATACTAAGCAAAAGAAGCCAGACTACCAAAAATAGTACATACCACAGGATTCCATTTATATAAAGTAGGGGTCGTTAAACTACAGCCCACAGGCTGGCCACCTGTTTCTGTAATTAAAGTTTTATTGGAACACAGCCACAGTCATTCGTGTATGTATTGTCTTTGACTGCTTTAGTGCTACAACTGCAGAGTTGAGCAGTTGTGACAGAGACCATCTGGCCTGTAAGCCTAAAATGTTTGCTATCTGGTTCTTTAAGAAAAAGCTGGCCAACACTTGATATAAAGTTCAAAAACAGGCAAAATTAATCTATGGTGCTAGAAGTCAGGGTAGTGTTTAGCCCCAGAGAACTGTAAACATCATTTGACACCTGTAGTTCCAGCCACTGAGAAAGCTGAGGCAGGAGGATCACTTGAGCCCAGGAGTTTGAGATTGTAGTGAGCCGTGACTGTGTCACTGCACTCCAGCCTGGGCAACAGAGTGAAACTTCTAGAAGAAAGGAACTCAATATCAGGTAATGATAGTAAAAAGAAGACCAAAGCAGTGTTGTCCAATGAAACTTCCTGCAGTGACGGAAACTTTCTAGATCTGTGCTGTCCAATAGCCATCAGGTATATGCTGAAATTGAGTACTTAAATTAAATAAGTACTACATTGGACAGCACAGGACTGGAGCATAGACTTTAAGATAGACTCCTTGTTTGGAGCCAGTTACTAGCTGTGTGACTTTGGCAAATTATTTAATCTCTCTGTGCCTCCATTTTCTCATCTGTAAAATGGGGCTTAGAGTAGAACCAAGGTGGTTGTGAATAGTGAGTCAGTATGTGTAAATCACTTAAAACAAAGCCCGCCACATAACAAGGGCTATGTAAGTATGAACTACATAAATATTTTTGTTACTTATTATTATTAATACTATTATAATATTCTATGCAAAGCTTCCCTTTCCCAATACTCCCATAAGTCTCCACTTTCCACAGAAGAAAGTCTAGTTTTCTTATGATATGCAAAGCCCATGAAGACCTTATCCCTTCCTACCTCTCCAATATTATTTATTCCCATTTCCTAACCCCAGACCAGCTTTTTTTAGGACACCTCAAGATCATTGAGTACCAAATTATTTAGAGACCCAAAGAAACTTTATTTGGGCGGACTCCATGACTTCTGTTTTGTGTTTTTAATTGTTTTTTAATTGTGAAATATTTGAAAACTTAAAAAAGTATAAAGAATACTATATCAAACATCTACATAGTCACCTATCATTTTGTCCTATTTGCTTTATATTATTTTTTAACCTCTGAGCACTTTTTAACTTTTCTATTATGGAAAATTTTGAACATACACAAAAGTAGATAGAGTAATGTAATGAATCTGCACTGTCTTGCTTCAATAATTATCAACATTTTGTCAATATTGCTGTTCCAAATCTTTTGAGAAAATTAAACATCACAGATGCAGTTGAAATTAAGAATTTAATCATGAATTAATTTTGAATTTTTTCTTTTGTTCATCTATTGAACTGATATATTTTTCCTTTTTTAGCCAGTTTTTATGGTGTATTATGTTAACAGATTTTTTTGATGCGTTCTTTGCATTCTGATGATAAAACTATTTGGTCATGAATCATTATTATTATTATTATTTTTATACATTGTTGGATTTGAGTTTGTAGTATTTTATTTAGAATTTTTACATAACTGTTTGTAAATGAAATTGGTTGAAATTGGTTTGTAATTTTATTACTCCAAGTTATCCTTGTCCTGCTTTAGTATGAATGTTATAATAATCTCATATATTAAGCTGGGAATTAAAAAGAATATATTCGTTTTATTTTTTTAATTTTATTTCTTTTTTCTTCTATTTTTCTGTTTACTTTTTCTTTTTTAAAAAAAAGAATATATATTCTCTGTTTCTTAGGCACAAGGTTTTACATTAAATATTTAATCAAGCTTGTTAATTATGTTTTATAAAACTTCTAAATTCTATATTCAACCCCCATATTCTACATGTTTATTTTTACATTCCTACTATTTTTTGGTTGGCAAAATTTATCAATATAAATCATAGTTTTGTTAAATTCTCACAATATAATTAAGGATTGTAAGTTCTCCTTTTAATTCTATCTGCTTGAAACTATGCTGTTGGTTGAATAAAAGTTCATGAAAATAGTGCCATCTCTTTATTTTAAAACTTTCTGTGCTGCTTTGTTTAGCTGCAATTTTTATAAGCTCTTTATTTTAAAACTTTCTGTGTTGCTTTGTTTAGCTGTGACTTTTATAACCTGTATATAGCTGGATTTTGTTATATTTACTTAATCTGATAGTCTTTGTTATTTGTTGCATTCATCTATAAATATTTCTAATGGTTACCAATATATTTGGACCATATCTTTTCGTTTTTCTATTTATAATTATTCTGGATTACATTTCTATGATTTAGTGGTTACTGTTAATGTTTACATGCATACTTAACTATAAGTTTTTCTAACAAAATCTAAAGCTATTCAGTATTTTTATCTTCTCCTGAACGTAACACAGATCGTAACTCTCCTTAATAATTTATTGAATAACCTCTCTCTCCATATTTATGTTATCTAGAGTTTCATTTTTACTTTTTTAATATAATATTTTATTTTTAAGGTATTGATTAATAGGTAATTAAATTTGCTGACATTTCTTTCACTTCCTAAATCAAATAGGATTTAGAGAAATAAACAAAAAAATTTTAAATAAAAATAATATCATATCATCAGCAAACAGTAAAAGTTTGATCTCTTCTGCCCCTATTTGGATACCTTTAATTCCACTTTCATGTCTGATTGCTATAGCCAGGACTTCCAGCACTATGTTGAATAGAAGTGGAGATAGTGGGCAACCTTGCCTGGTTCCAGTTCTAAGTGGGAATGCTTTCAATTTTTCCCCATTCAGTATGATGGTGGCTAGGGGTCTGTCAGATATGGCTTGTATCATTTTTAGGTATGTCCCTTCTATGCCTATTTTCTTAAGTG